ACACACACACACACACACACACACACACACACACACACACACACACAAACAAACACACACACACACACACACAAACACATACGCACAAAAACGTACACACTCACTATACACACTCACACACCATACACACACACTTTGATCTCCTAACCTTGCTTTGCCATCTAATTTGTTATTTTAATTTCTTTTTCGTTATATACTGTGAAGTGCTGATATATTTAGAATACATTTTATTTATTACAACTACATCATTCGAGCTGTTAATTTCCCAAATATAAATAAATAAATATTCCATTTTCTTTTTGTGAAATTACTCCACTCCTTTGTAATTTGTTATAATTATTAAAACAAAGATTAGTGTTCACTAAGAAAAATTTCCTCGATTCGGCTGGACTCGAATCAGAGTCTTCAGCATGTTCAGTTCTCCCATCTGAGATACGGAACGAACCAGCAGACCTTCGAATTCGAATTTTTCTATTTCTTGTGTATACACACACGTGTGTATGTAGCGCCAATTGTGAGAAATCTATGAAAGTTTTTGTTCACTCAACCAGGCAATATTACACAAATTAATTCGACTTATAGCTTTAGAATTCTGTAACTTAATATTTTTAATATGCTAAGGAACATGTCTTGGTCGAGGTTTCCTGTGGTTTTTCCTTAAAGGGATTTTTTTTCCGGTTCCACAAGATATTACCGTCTAATCGATGCTAACTTGATAGTCTGGTTATATTTTAAATTTATAATATATATAAGAAGAAGTCACATTCAAACACTTTTGACTAGCTTTAGTTTCGAACCGACTATGACATACATTCGTAGAATTATCTCTTAAGAAAGAAAGAAACATTTATTCGGCTGTTACAAATAAATATACAAAAAAGTAATAATAAAAGGAATATTATTATTGTATTTATAACTTTGTTTGATACAATTTTGCGTTTATTTACTTTTAGAAACACATTCAACATTGGACAACACATTCAACATTGCACATTTTCGTAAATTACTCCGAGAGTAATTGACGAAAATTCAGTCCGCCATGACCGTGGGACCTATAAAAGGCCCGAAACGTTAGTTTGTTTGACAAATATACGCTACTGCAGCCTAGGGGGTAGCTCAGGTTGCGTAGCGAGAGGTACTTTATAAATATAAACTGGGATTTACTTCAAAATTAGATGTTTATTGTATTATTCACATATTTACTTTTTGAGGCTACTTCTGGATCTGCCAAGATGTTCTTTTCTCTATCCTATTTTTTTAAACACATTCTAAATACAAATCTATATTCACTCAGCCAGTAAGTCTACTCATAGAGTAGATCCTAGACTACATCCCTCTTCCTCACAACTGAAGGGGTGAACGTCCCTAGCTGGTGCCCTACCCATGATAGGCAACTTACATAAGTGATCAGCCTTTACTATAGGCTAGCCACACACTGCTCGGAAGCTACTACCTTACCAACAAGGAAACCACCGAGGAGGCTATGGCTTTAGTCTGCCAAAAACCTATCTAAAAGGACAGACCATGACCACATCCTAATCAAACAATTCAAAATATAATTATTCGTTAGCTATCCTAGCTATTTAGGTAGCCTGTCTAATTCCTAACTCTTTATTTCAGCTACCCTAGCTTGGTTGAATGTTCCTAACAAATCCTTAAACATCACTACTAGAACTTCCTAAATGCATCACTAAACTATCTTCAATGTGCACGCTGCTACGACGACGACACAGGCTTGAGCACCCATCGGGCGATCACTGGGTAACATCAATATTGATCTCCCAGCTGCCTTAGTCCTCATCCTGCAGTTATCCACGTTCCATCAGCTTTCCTCACTTTCTTTAAACAAACCAGAACAAACACACAAATAACCCTAACAACGACATTTCCAAACATACATACGTATGATATGGGGATATACCATATGAAGGATTCCTAATAATTAAATAAATATATTTTCCTTGAATGCAGACAGTTCTTGGTCATCTGGGAGGATACACACACAGGACAATATATCCATGAAAAAAAAAGTAAGTTATATCTATCCAATCCAAGTCGGTAGTCCATCTTCTCCTCCCGTCCTTGGAGGTTGCGTAGCGAGAGGTACTTTATAAATATAAACTGGGATTAACTTCAAAATTAGATGTTTATTGCATTTTTCATATATTTACTTCTTGAGGCTACTTCTAGATCTGCCAAGATGTTCTATTCTCTATCTTATTTTTTTAAACACATTCTAAATACAAATCTATATTCACTCAGCCAGAACTTCTACTCATTGAGTAGAGCTTAGACTACACTACTTAGATTCGAAAAAATAGTTTCATTTCCTATGGGTAACAATCGCCGAACCTAAGAAGTCATCGACTTCTTAGGTTCCGGAGTATCGACTCCGAGAGAATTTTTACCATTGTTTACATCAGTATGTAGTTAAACGACAGATAGACCGTACTTAGTCTCGGATCCGAAACACCTACTTTGACTGCGTCAATAAATTCAATAAATTACGGTACACTAGTTTCGATAGCTATTTGGCTTTCAAAAACAATCATTAGGTTCATTACTGTGTTCCAAGCAATTAAATTGACTTTTTAAATTTAAATTTATTTAGCGCGGAAGAAGCGTCCCCTTACGCTTTTTCGCAAACTAGAGGTTAAAAAATAATCTCAGTATCAAAAGTCATTCATCCCCTAGTTTGCCACCCTTAGTGGTGGAATATTTTCTTAAAATTTAAATGGGACTAAAAAAAGAATCATCAAAATGGGTTCACAAATCATTATCATATAATTCATAAAAAGTTATCGCATAACATATACAAAAAAAGACGTACAGTCGAATTGAGAACCTTTTTTGAAGTCGGTTAAAAAGAAAGAATGAAACTATTTGCAATATCGTACCTTGGGTGTAAGACCACATCTAAAAACTGACTTTCAAAAGAGTGGCTTAAAGATTTTACGAATGAAATTAGTTGATTTTTAAAAATAAATAATAAACGATGTGATGATTAAGCGACGATGCCGCCACAGCGCCCGTCACCCTGAGAGATAAGTTGACTAGTCCCATGTGCCTGTAATTTTACCAGCACCCTTACCTTTCTAAACCGAAATACGGTAATGCCTACATTATTCCTCGGCGGCAGAAATAGGTAAGAAATATTTTCCTAGACGAATTCTTTTATGAGGAGCTTTTTACTGCTATATTGATTA